GAATCTGTACACCAGTTGATTGACAGTTGAGAGGCGGGACCAAAGAGCCAAAGCTCAACCCCCCGCAAGCACAAACAGGTGAGTACAAAGAGGTGAGTACACACACACACACACACACACACACACACACACACACACACACACACACACACACACACACATCATTGTGGGGCCTCGTAGCCTGGTGGATAGCGTGCAGGACTCGTAATTCTGTGGCGCGGCTTCGATTCCCACACGAGGCAGAAACAAATGGGCAAAGTTTCTTTCACCCTAAGTGCCCCTGTTACCTAGCAGTAAATAGGTACCTGGGAGTTAGTCAGCTGTCACGGGCTGCTTCCTGGGGTGTGTGTGTGTGTGGTGTGGAAAAAAAAAAAAAAAAAAAAAAAAAAAAAAGTAGTTAGTAAACTGTTGATTGACAGTTGAGAGGCGGGCCGAAAGAGCAAAGCTCAACCCCCGCAAAAAAACACAACTAGTAAACACAAACACACACACGCAGAAGATGGAGAAGATTGTGCGAAGAAAGCTAGTGGAGCACCTGGAGCGAAAGAACTTTGTAACACAGCATCAACATGGAATCAGGGATGGCAGGTCCTGCCTCACAGGGTTACTTGAATTCTACGACCAGGCAACAAAAATAAGTCAAGAAAGAGAAGGGTGGGCAGAATGCATATTTTTGGATTCTCAGAAAGCCTTTGATACAGTTCCACACAATAGGCTAGTGAAAAAGCTGGAGATGCAGGCTGGAGTGAAAGGGAAGGTACTCCGTTGGATACAGGAGTACCTAAGCAACAGGAGACTACGAGTCAGTGTGAGGGGTGAGGTCTCAGATTGGCGAGACGTTACGAGTGGAGTCCCGCAGGGGTCAGTCCTTAGACCTATATTGTTTCTGGTATATGTAAATGATCTCCCAGAGGGTATAGAATCGTTTCTCTCAATGTTTGCCGATAATGCAAAAATTATGAGGAGGATTGAAACTGAGGACGATGGTAGGAGGCTACAAGATGACCTAGACAGACTGACAGACCGAGTCCAACAAATAGCTGTTGAAGTTCAACCCGAGTAAATGGAAAGTAATAAAACTAGGCGGTGGAAACAGAAGGCCAGACACAGGATACAGAATAGGAGATGAAGTACTTAATGAAATGGACAGAGGGAAAGATCTAGGAGTTGATATCACACCAAACCTGTCTCCTGAAGCCCACATAAAAAGAATAACGTCTGCGGCATATGCGAGGCTAGCTAACATCAGAACAGCGTTCAGGAACCTGTTTAAGGAATCATTCAGAATCTTGTACACCACATATGTAAGACCAATCCTGGAGTATGCGGCCCCAGCATGGAGCCCGTATCTTGTCAAGCATAAGACGAAGCTGGAAAAAGTCCAAAGGTATGCCACTAGACTAGTCCCAGAACTAAGAGGCATGAGTTATGAGTAAAGGCTGCGGGAAATGCACCTTACGACACTGGAAGACAGAAGAGTACGGGGAGACATAATCACAACCTACAAAATCCTCAGAGGAATCGACCGGGTAAACAGGGATAAACTATTCAGCACTGGTGGGACGCGAACAAGGGGACACAGGTGGAAACTGAGTACCCACATGAGCCACAGAGACGTTAGAAGGAACTTTTTCAGTTTCAGAATAGTTAACGGATGGAATGCATTAGGCAGTGGAGGAGGCTGACTCCATACACAGTTTCAAATGTAGATATGATAGAGCGCAGTAGGCTCAGGAATCTGTACACCAGTTGATTGACAGTTGAGAGGCGGGACCAAAGAGCCAAAGCTCAATCCCCGCAAGCACAAATAGGTGAGTACACACACACACACACACACACACACACACATATTATCCCCACCCCCCATTCTCACTTCCTATGTAGCATACCAGATGTTCTTCCCCCCTACCACCAAACCCCTTCTTCACAGTGGGCCCCCCCCCCCTTCATCTCCCCTCACCCTCTTCCACCACCTGACTATGTAGTTCTTCCACCACTATGACTATATATATATATATATATATATATATATATATATATATATATATATATATATATATATATATATATATATATTAGTATATTTTCGTAGCAGTCTTTCCTGTAGACATATATTATTAAATATGACCGAAAAAGTAAGATTAATAATTCTAACACGAATTTTCTCAATCTTTCGTACATTACGCTTCACTGTTGGAGGTAAATCAAAAATTAATTCTCCAAAATTCATTTTTATTTCTAGTCTGACGCGACACGGGCGCGTTTCGTAAAACTTATTACATTTTCAAAGACTTTAGTTCACAAATACACAACTGAATAGAACTTACGTATCTCCGATTTTATATCTACATTTGAGTGAGGTGGGAGGGGTGATGTGGCATTAACACAAGACAGAACAAGAGGGGATATTAATAGGGTATTAAAAGTATCAACACAAGACAGAACACAAACAATGGGTATTGAATAGAAGTGTTTGTAGAAAGCCTATTGGTCCATATTTCTTGATGCTTCTATATTGGAGCGGAGTCTTGAGGTGGGTAGAATATAGTTGTGCATTAATTGGCTCTTGATTGCTGGTGTTGACTTCTTGATGTGTAGTGCCTCGCAAACGTCAAGCCGGCTGCTATCGCTGTATCTATCGATGATTTCTGTGTTGTTTACTAGGATTTCTCTGGCGATGGTTTGGTTGTGGGAAGAGATTATATGTTCCTTAATGGAGCCCTGTTGTTTATGCATCGTTAAACGTCTAGAAAGAGATGTTGTTGTCTTGCCTATATACTGGGTTTTTTGGAGCTTACAGTCCCCAAGAGGGCATTTGAAGGCATAAACGACGTTAGTCTCTTTTAAAGCGTTCTGTTTTGTGTCTGGAGAGTTTCTCATGAGTAGGCTGGCCGTTTTTCTGGTTTTATAGTAAATCGTCTGACGGTTTATCTTTGTATCTTTGGGGGCACTCACTTCTACCGTTCAGGCATAATCCTATGTTGGTGGGCTTGGTATATACGTTGGTGCTTAAAGAGGTTCCTGTTTTTGTTATTAGTACATCCAGGAATGGCAGACTGTTATTTTCACTATTTTCATGTGTAAATCGGAGTACTGACTCTCTCTCTAGGTGTCTTTTTAGGTCAATTAGTTCATCTAAGTCTTTTACTATTACGAATATGTCATCTACATAACGGCAGTATACAGTTGGTTTTTGTCTGCTACTGAAGACCCTGTCTTCGAACCCAAAACTCGGTAGTGTGCTTATACTTTACCAGCAGATCAACCTTCGGGCTTCTGGCTCTTGGAGAGGGGCTCAACGTCACACGTTTAGGGGATGTAACTCCAATACTTAGCCTCGTTGTCAAGTGCACACACCCACTCGAGCCGCTGTGACTCCCCACTCTCTCCTTATGTGATATGATCTTCTCAATCCCTTTTGACTTATTAGTTTTCCGTTCTACCCTGTCCACAGCGGTGATTCTTGGTTCTTTCTCTCTCTCTCCTTCCTTCCTACTTCCTGGGAAGTATCACTAGGACAAGGGCAAACACCAGGAAATTTGAATATATTTTTTACTAGACAAAGCACATACACAATACATACACACATATAATAATAATGAATCCTACACTCTATACTATTTCAGTCAGGTTGCACTCCAACACCATCAGAACTCTATCATCTGCTTATCAAGTGGTAGCCTCTCTTCTGATTCATCAACTAATACTACCAACCTCCTCAAGTAGTCAAGTCTTATAACACAATGTTGCACTATCAGCAAGAAAATATATATATATATATATCTATGAACACATACAAGGAAAACTAGCGTATGGCTGCAATAACATAAATATTAGTATAAATATTCCTTGATATACAACAATGATCAATCGATCACCCTATTAGTCCTAGAACACATATGTATATCTCTGCAGGTAATCCAGCCAACGACTGTAACTCTATACTTCAGTATAAGTACTCGTTGGCACAAAAATGGCAAACAATCACTCACCTTTCACTGTGTCTTGCACGCTAATGACAACCACACACTGTACCAACTCCCTACAAGTAATCAACTAGAACTTCCCGTCCACATCTGGAAGTTCACTACCCTGATATCTTCAGGTTCTTCCGGGTTTAATTAACTACCAGGATCCTCCGCAGCTCTTCCAGGCTGTTACACCATGAAGTTTTCCTTGAGCAACAATGGTGCTTCACCACTGACATTCAAGAAGCACGTGACACTCCTCTTCACTGCTTCTCCTCACAGCTTGAGGTTCTACTCTTCACTGTGGGGCTACTCTTCCTCAGAGTACACTACTCCTTCAACAGCCTTGGAGTCTCTTCAACTACTCCTTCTCTGCTGGCTTCGAAGTTCTTAGCAACTTCTTCCCCTGACAAACCACAGATTGTCTAGTCGAGGGCGCTCTCCCTCTGACGGAGTCGGATCAAGGCGCTCCTACGGCCCACGATAATGTCTCTGGGTGGCTTAACAAACTCTTCTTGCCGTCCAGGACTTGAGATCTAACGTTCCCAGCTCGATTCCACATCTGAAAAGTCTGCACACTTCCTTTCTCTTGAAGGTATATCCAACAGGGGATCCTCTCCAAAAGGAGCTGAAATGGAGCGCAGCTTCCCCTCACGATGACTGATACTCAAGTGAGGTCAGAGCCATCCCAAAGTGAGCCACACGTCTCCATGAAATTATCCACATCTCATAACCAGTCACTTATCTATTTTCTTATTCACTGCCAATATTCTTAAACTCTCTGTAAAATTTTCACAATTATTTTTACATATGAATCTTCATGTCTGTGTATCTGCGACCTCCTAGTCAGGTCAGGCTTGATAGAATAATTCTCAAAGGGGAGATTCGTTTTTCGGCTACCTGGGATCATAACACGAGGCAGTGAGACACAGTTGGTGAGTGAGCAGCGAGGCAGTGAGATACAGCTGGTGGGTGAGCAGCGAGTCAGTGAGACACAGTTGGTGTCTAAGCTGCGAGGTAGTTACACAGTTGATGAGTGAGCAGCGAGGCAGTGAGACAAAGTTTGTGAATAAGCAGCGAGGCAGTGAGACAAAGTTTGTGAATAAGCAGCGAGGCAGTAAGACACAGTGTGTGGTTGAGCAGCGAGGCAGTAAGACACAGCTGATGATTGAGCAGCGAGGCAGTGAGACACAGTTGGTGTCTGAGCAGAGAAGTAGTGCGACACAATTGGTGACTGAGCAGCGAGGCAGTGAGACGCAGTTGGTGTCTGAACACCGAAGCAGTGACACATAGTTGGTGAGTGAGCAGCGAAGCAGCGAGACACAGTTGATGGGTGAGCAGCGAGGCAGTGAGACGCAGTTGGTGGGAGAGCAGCGAGACAGTGAGACACAGTTTTTGAGAGAGCAGCGAGACAGTGAGACACAGTTGGTGTCTTAGCAGCGAGACCGTGAGACACAGTTGGTGTCTGAGCAGAGCGGCAGTGAGACACAGTTGGTGAGTGAGCAGTGAGACACAGTTGGTGGGTGAGCAGCAAGACAGTTAGACACAGTTGTTGAGTGAGCAGCGAGACAGTGAGACACAGTTGGTGGGTGAGCAGCGAAGCAGTGAGACACCGTTGGTATCTGAACAGCAAGAAAGTGAGACACAGTTGGTGAGTGAGCAGCGAGAAAGTGAGACACAATTGATGAGTGAGCAGCGAGACAGTGAGGCACAGATGGTGGGTGAGCAGCGAGACAATGAGACACATTTCGTGTCTGAGCAGCGAAGGAGTGAGACACAGTTGATGAGTGAGAGCGAGGCAGTGAGACACAGTTGGTGAGTGAGCAGCGAGGCAGTGAGACACAGCTGGTGGGTGAGCAGCGAGGCAGTAAGACACAGTTGGTGTCTGAGCTGCGAGGAAGTGAGACATTGTTGGTGAGTGAGCAGCGAAGCAGTGAGACACAGTTGGTGGGTGAGCAGCGAGGCAGTGAGACACAGTTGGTGGGAGAGAAGCGAGACAGTGAGACACAGTTGGTGTCTGAGAAGAGCGGCAGTGAGAACCAGTTGGTGAGTGAGCATCGAGGCAGTGAGACACAGTTGGTGAGTGAGAAGAAAAGTAGTGAGACACAGTTTGTGAGTGAGCAGCAAGGCAGTGAGACACAGTTGGTGGCTGAGCAGCGAGGCAGTGAGACACAGTTGGTGAGTGAGTAGAAAGGTAGTGAGACACAGTTTGTGAGTGAGCAGCAAAACAGTGAGACACAGTTGGTGGCTGAGCAGCGAGGCAGTGAGACACAGCTGGTGGGTGAGCAGCGAGACAATGAGACACATTTGGTGTCTGACCAGCGAAGGAGTGAGACACAGTTGGTGAGTTAGCAGCGAGGCAGTGAGACACAGCTGGTGGGTGAGCAGCGAGGCAATGAAATACAGCTGGTGGGTGAGCAGCTTGGCAGTGAGAAACAGTTGGTGTCTGAGCTGCGAGGTAATGAGACACAGTTGGTGTCTAAGCAGCGAGGCAGTTTTCTCATTCTCATTCACCTCAAGCGTTCAAGTTCCCTGGCACACTATCTTTGAGCGACACATGTCGCTTCCGACCCGGTCCTCTAGCCATCCCTTGTGTTGTGCCATCCAGTCCACGGAGGGGTGGAAAATGGCGGCCTGCTTGCTTGCTGCATGTCTGTGGGACAATCGGATCCGCAGCAGACGTTGGGTGATTCAAAGGGCGGCAGGCCTCTGTTGCAGAAATAGGACGAAAAGCGTCTTTCCTTCAGAACATGATGAGGTGTGCTAAGGGCTCGTTTGTCACACAGTTGACACAGTTGGTGTCTGAGGTGCGAGCTAGTGAGACACAGTTGGTGAATCAGCAGCGAGGCAGTGAGACACAGTTGGTGAGTGAGCAGCAAGGCAGTGACACACAGTTGGTAGGTGAGCAGCGAGGCAGTGAGACACAGTTGGTGTCTGAGCAGCGAGATAGTAAGACACAGTTGGTGTCTGAGCTGCGAGGCAATGAGACACAGTTGGTGTCTGAGCAGCGAGATAGTAAGACACAGTTGGTGTCTGAGCTGCGAGGCAGTGAGACGCAGTTGGTGTCTGAGCTGCGAGGAAGTGAGACGCAGTTGGTGTCTGAGCAGCGAAGTACTGAGACGCAGTTGGTGGGTGAGCAGCGAGGCAGTGAGACAAAGTTGGTGGGAGAGAAGCGAGACAGTGACACAGTTTTTGAGTGAGCAGCAAGACAGTGAGACACATTTGGTGTCTGAGCAGCGAGACAGTGAGACACAGTTGGTGTCTGAGAAGAGCGGCAGTGAGACACAGTTGGTGAGTGAGCATCGAGGCAGTGAGACACAGTTGGTGAGTGAGAAGAAAGGTAGTGAGACACAGTTTGTGAGTGAGCAGCAAGGCAGTGAGACACAGTTGGTGGCTGAGCAGCGAGGCAGTGAGACACAGCTGGTGTCTGAGCTGCGAAGGAGTGAGACACAGTTGGTGAGTGAGCAGAGCGGCAGTGAAACACAGTTAGTGAGAAGCGAGGCAGTGAGACACAGTTGGTGAGTGAGCAGCGAGGCAGTGAGACACAGCTGGTGGGTGAGCAGCGAGACAGTGAAACACAGCTGGTGGGTGAGCAGCTAGGTAGTGAGAAACAGTTGGTGTCTGAGCTGCGAGGCAGTGAGACACAGTTGGTGTTTAAGCAGCAAAGCAGTGAGACACAGTTGGTGTCTGAGGTGCGAGGTAGTGAGACACAGTTGGTGAGTGAGCAGCGAGGCAATGAGACACAGTACGTGAGTGAGCAGCAAGGCAGTGAGACACAGTTGGTAGGTGAGCAGCGAGGCAGTGAGACACAGCTGGTGGGAGAGCAGCGAGGCAGTGAGACACAGTTGGTGTCTGAGCAGCGAGATAGTGAGACACATTTGGTGTCTGAGCTTCGAGGCAGTGAGACACAGTTGGTGTCTGAGCTGCGAGGCAGTGAGACACAGTTGGTGTCTGAGCTGCGAGGCAATGAGACACAGTTGGTGTCTGAGGAGAGCGGCAGTGAAACACAGTTGGTGGCTGAGCAGCGAGGCAGTGAGAAACAGTTGGTGAGTGAGTAGAAAGGTAGTGAGACACAGTTTGTGAGTGAGCAGCAAGGCAGTGAGACACAGTTGGTGGCTGAGCAGCGAGGCAGTGAGACACAGCTGGTGGGTGAGCAGGGAGGCAGTGAGACACAGTTGGTGAGTGAGCATCGAGACAGTGAGGCACAGATGGTGGGTGAGCAGCGAGACAATGAGACACATTTGGTGTCTGAGCTGCGAAGGAGTGAGAAACAGTTGGTGAGTGAGCAGAGCGGCAGTGAAACACAGTTAGTGAGAAGCGAGGCAGTGAGACACAGTTGGTGAGTGAGCAGCGAGGCAGTGAGACACAGCTGGTGGGTGAGCGGCGAGGCAGTGAAGCACAGCTGGTGGGTGAGCAGCTAGGTAGTGAGAAACAGTTGGTGTCTGAGCTGCGAGGCAGTGAGACACAGTTGGTGTTTAAGCAGCAAAGCAGTGAGACACAGTTGGTGTCTGAGGTGCGAGGTAGTGAGACACAGTTGGTGAGTGAGCAGCGAGGCAATGAGACACAGTTGGTGAGTGAGCAGCAAGGCAGTGAGACACAGTTGGTAGGTGAGCAACGAGGAAGTGAGACACAGCTGGTGGGTGAGCAGCGAGGCAGTGAGACACAGTTGGTGTCTGAGCAGCGAGATAGTGAGACACATTTGGTGTCTGAGCTTCGAGGCAGTGAGACACAGTTGGTGAGTGAGTAGGAAGGTAGTGAGACACAGTTTGTGAGTGAGAAGCAAGGCAGTGAGACACAGTTGGTGGCTGAGCAGCGAGGCAGTGAGACACAGCTGGTAGGTGAGCAGTGAGGCAGTGAGACACAGTTGGTGAGTGAGCAGCGAGGTAGTGAGACACAGTTGGTGTCTGAGCTGCGAGGCAGTGAGACACAGTTGGTGTCTGAGCAGCGAGGTAGTGAGACACAGTTGGTGTCTGTGCAGCGAGGCAGTGAGACACAGTTGGTGTCTGGGCAGCGAGACAGTGAGACACAGTTGGTGTCTGAGAAGCGAGACTGTGAGACACAGTTAGTGAGTGAGCAACAAGACAGTGAGACACAGTTGTTGAGTGAGCAGCGAGACAGTGAGACACAGTTGGTGGATGAGCAGCGAGGCAGTAAGACACAGTTTGTGGTTGAGCAGCGAGGCAGTGAGACACAGCTGGTGGGTGAGCAGCGAGGTAGTGAGACACAGTTGGTGTTTGAGCTGCGAGGCAGTGAGACACAGTTGGTGTCTGAGCAGCGAGGTAGTGAGACACAGTTGGTGTCTGAGCAGTGAGGCAGTGAGACACAGATGGTGTCTGTGCAGCGAGGTAGTGAGACACAGTTGGTGTCTAAGCAGTGAGGCAGTGAGACACAGGTGGTGTCTGAGGTGCGAGGTAGTGAGACACAGTTGGTGAGTGAGCAGTGAAGCAGTGAGACACAGTTGGTGAGTGAGCAGCAAGGCAGTGAGACAAAGTTGGTGTCTGAGCTGCGAGGCAGTGAGACACAGATGGTGTCTGAGCTGCGAGGCAGTGAGACACAGTTTGTGTTTGAGCTGCGAGGCAGTGAGACACAGTTGGTGTCTGAGCAGCGAATCAGTGAGACACAATTGGGGGGTGAGCAGCGAGACAATGAGACATTGTTGGTGTTTGATCAGCGAGACAGTGAGACACATTTGGTAGGTGAGCAGCGAGACAGTGAGACACACATGGTGGGTGAGAAGCGAGGCAGTGAGACACAGTTGGTGAGTGAGCAGAGCGGTAGTGAGACACAGTTGGTGGGTGAGCAGCGAGGCAATGAGACACAGTTGGTGGGTGAGCAGCGATGCAGTGTAACACAGTTTGTGAGTAAGCAGAGAGGAAGTGAGGTACATTTGGTGAGTGAGCAGCGAGGCAGTGAGACACAGTTGTTGAGTGAGCAGCGAGGCATTGAGACACAGTTGGTGTCTGAGAAGGGAGGCAGTGAAACACAGTTGGTGAGTGAGCAGCGAGGCAGAGACACAGTTGGTGTCTGAGAAGCGAGGCAGTGAGACACAGTTGGTGAGTGAACAACGAGGCAGTGAGACACAGTTGGTGAGTGAGAAGCGAGACAGTGAGATACAGTTGGTGAGTGAGGAGCGAGGTAGTGAGACACAGTTGGTGTCTGATCAGCGTGGTAATGAGACACAGATGGTGAGTGAGCAGAACGGCAGTGAGACACAGTTGGTGAGTGAGCAGGGAGGTGGTGAGATACAGTTGGTGAGTGAGCAGCGAGGCAGTGAGACACAGTTGGTAGGTGAGCAGCGAGGCAGTGAGACACAGCTGGAGGGTGAGCAGCGAGGCAGTGAGACACAGTTGGTATCTGAGCAGCGAGGAAGTGTGACACAGGTGGTGTCTGAGCTGCGAGGCAGTGAGACACAGTTGGTGTCTGAACTGCGAGGCAGTGAGACACAGTTGATGTCTGAGCAGCGAGGCAGTGAGACGCAGTTGGTGTCTGAGCAGCGAAGCAGTGAGACATAGTTGGTGAGTGAGCAGCGAAGCAGTGAGACTCAGTTGGTGGGTGAGCAGCGAGGCAGTGAGACACAGTTGGTGGGAGAGCAGCGAGGAAGTGAGACACAGTTGGTGTCTGAGCAGCGAGACAGTGAGACACAGTTGGTGTCTGACCATCGAGGCAGTGAGACACAGTTGGTGTCTGAGCAGCGAAGCAATGAGACACAGTTGGTGTCTGTGCAGCGAAGCAGTGAGACACAGTTGGTGGGTGAGCAGCGAGGCAGTGAGACACAGTTGGATGGTGAGCAGCGAGACACAGTTGGTGTCTGGTTAGCGAGACAGTGAGACACAGTTGGTGTTTGAGCAGCGAGACTGTGAGACACAGTTGGTGAGTGAGCAACAAGACAGTGAGACACAGTTGTTGAGTGAACAGCGAGGCAGTGAGACACAGTTGGTGAGTGAGCAGCGAGACAGTGAGATACAGTTGGTGAGTGAGGAGCAAAGCAGTGAGACACAGTTGGTGTCTGAGGTGCGAGGTAGTGAGACACAGATGGTGAGTGAGCAGCAGGGCAGTGAGACACAGTTGGTAGGTTAGCAGCGAGGCAGTGAGACACAGCTGGTGGGTGAGCAGCGAGGCAGTGAGACACAGTTGGTGTGTGAGCTGCGAGGTAGTCAGACACAGTTGGTGAGTGAGCAACAAGACAGTGAGACACAGATGGTAGGTTAGCAGCGAGGCAGTGAGACAAAGTTGGTGTCTGAGCTGCGAGGCAGTGAGACACAGTTGGTGTCTGAGCAGCGAGGCAGTGAGACGCAGTTGGTGTCTGAGCAGCGAAGCAGTGAGACATAGTTGGTGAGTGAGCAGCGAAGCAGTGAGATACAGTTGTTGGGTGAGCAGCGAGACAGTGAGACACAGTGAGACTCCTCCTCCCTCCCCCCTTTACTTCCGTCCCGAACCCCACTTTTTCCCCATCCCCCTCTCACCCTCCCTCAAACCTCTTCTTCTCACCCCCCCCCTCAACCCTCCCCATCTCACCCCTCCCCCCAACCCTCCTCCTCTAACGCACCCCACAACCTTACCCCTCTCACCCCCCCCTTACCCTCCCCCTCCCCCCCCCCCCGCCCTGTAGCCCTTCCTCCTCCACCAGTCTCCCTATACCAGATCCTCCCAGCTCCCGCTCACCCCAGACCCCACAGGTCCCCTCCAGAGGAAAAGCAGAAGAGAGTCAGTTTCAGGGTAATGTACTCGAACATAGATGGAATCACAAGCAAGGCAAGTGAACTAAGTTAAAGAGCACAAGAAGTGAACCCAGATGTAATCAGACTCACTGAAACAAAACTCTCTGGAATCATAACGAATGCCGTGTTTCCCCAGGAGTACACAGTAATATGGAAAGAGAGGGAAGTTAAGGGATGAGGTGGTGTTGCCCTACTCATGAGAAAGGAATGGAGTTTTAAGAAGATGGCTATCCTGGGCTGTGAGGGTTTTAGAGACTACATAGCAGGCACCATGACAATGGAATGACCAAGAATAGTAGTAGCAGTAATATATAACCCTCCACCAAATGACAGAAGACCCAGTCAAGAGTACGAAAACAACAACATTGCAGTTAACACTATAATTGAGAGGGCAGCCTCTGCTGCCTGTACAAATAGATCCCACCTGCTCATCATGGGGGACTTCATTCACGGAAGAATTGACTTGGAGAACAAGGAATCGCATGGAGGCGAGAATACGTGGAGAGCCAAACTACTAGAGGTGGTGACTAGAAACTTTTTAACCCAGCATGTCAGAGAACCCACAAGGATGAGAGGAAATGACGAACCAGCGAGACTCGACCTGGTCTTCACCCCTGAACGACTCCGACATAAGAGAAATCGGTTTTGAGGCCCCAGTGGGAATGAGCGACCACAGTGTATTGGTGTTTGAGTACCTGATTAAAGAAGGGTTATTGAACTCGAGGAGGGATACTGAAACCAAAAGGTTAGCATACAGAAAGGGAAACTATGAGGAGATAAGAAAATTCCTAACAGATATAGCATGAGAAACAGAGCTCAGGGAAAAGATGGCCCAAGATATGATGGACTATATCACGCAAAAGTGCAAGGACGCAGCAAACAAGTTTGTCCCAGCCCATAAGGAAAACAGTGAAATGAAGATGAGAAACCCATGGTTTAATCAGAGATGTAGGCTCGCTAAGCAGCAAAGTAAAAGGGCATGGAGAAACTATAGGAATAACAGGACACTGGAGAGCAGAGAAAGATACCAGAATGCCAGGAATGAATATGTCAGGAAGAGAAGAGAGGCAGATAGACAATACGAAAATGACATCGCAAGCAAGGCAAAGACTCCTAAATTGCTGCATAGTAACATCAGGAGAAAGGTCTCATGTACTGTATGACATCAGGTCATACAGTCTCCGTGGTGTAGTGGTAAGACACTCGCCTGGCGTTCCGCGAGCGCTATGTCATTGGTTCGTATCCTGGCCGGGGAGGATTTACTGGGTGCAAATCCTTAACTGTAGCCTCTGTTTAACGCAACAGTAAAATGTGTACTTGAATGAAAAAACGATTGTTCGCGGCTGGGATCGTATTCCAGGGACCTGCCCGAAACGCTACGCGTACTAGTGGCTGTAAAAGACTCTTATATATATGTAAAAAAAAAAAAAATTGAAAGGAACAGGTAATGAAATTAAGGATAGGGGCAGAAAGATTCACTACAAACTACAAGGAAGTGTGTGAGGAACTGAATTAGAAATTCCATGAGGTCTTCACCTTAGAGCAAGGAGAAATCCCAGAGATAAGAGAGGGAATAGCTAACCAGGAACCATTGGAAGAGTTTGAGATTACCAGCGGGGAAGTAAGGAAGTGTTTACTAGAGTTGGATGTGACAAAGGCTATAGGCCCAGATGGAATCTCCCCTTGGATACTAAAGGAAAAAGCAGAAGAACTGTGCCCACCACTCTCCATAGTGTATAACAAATCACTGGCAACAGGGGAACTGCCAGAAATTTGGAAAGCAGCTAACGTAGTCCCGATATACAAGCAAGGGGATAGAGAGGTTGCACTGAATTACAGGCCAGTGTCCCAAACCTGCATACCATGCAAACTGATGGAGAAGATTGTGCGAAGAAAGCTAGTGGAGCACCTGGAGCGAAAGAACTTTGTAACTCAGCATCAACATGGGATCAGGGATGGCAGGTCCTGCCTCACAGGGTTACTTTAATTTCTACGACCAGGCAACAAAAATAAGGCAAGAAAGAGAAGGGTGAGCAGACTGCATATTTTTGGATTGTCAGAAAGCCTTTGATACAGTGCTACACAAGAGGCTAATGAAAAAGCTGGAGATGCAGGCTGTAGTGAAAGGGAAGGTACTCCATTGGATAAAGGAGTACCTAAGCAACAGGAGACAACGACTTAGTGTGAGGGGTGAGGTCTCAGATTGGCGAGACGTTACGAGTGGAGTCCCGCTGGGGTCAGTCCTTGGACCTATACTGTTTCTGATATATGTAAATGATCTCCCATAGGGTATAGAATCGTTCCTCTCAATGTTTGCCGATGATGCAGAAATTGTGAGGAGGATTGAAACTGAGGACGATAGTAGGAGGCTACAAGATGACTGAAGCGGAAGAGCCTCGACAAGGATCCCTAGTCATCGCTGTCTTATGGGAGACGTACTGGGTGGAGTTGAGTAAGCTGTTGAATTTGTAACCGAGCAGTGTTGAAGTTGGAGATAGCTATTGGTTCACCCCTGAGCCTTATCCTTCCCTCGTTTTAATTGAGAAAGCCATACATCCGACAGTGCTTATTTGGATCTTGTCTGGGTTAGTGG